CAAATCCTTGTACAATTTGCAGCAATGCTTATACAGTATGTTATCAGGAATTTTTGCAGCAGAAAAAATAAAACCAGTGGGAAATTAGTTAAATAAATTATGACATTGAAAATATAATAATACAACTATACAAACATAAAGCAATTTAAAAATATATTTCATTTATTTATTTTATTAGTTTTAATTTTTAATCAGTTTATTTTAGCAAAGAAACCACTCAGTAGCTAGAGATGGTCCAGAACAGGCACATGTCTGGGAGAACCAGTGGCCAGACACAGATGACCATGGTGGGGTGTGGGGAGGGAGGCAGCTGTGCTGGCTTTCAGACCCCCAGCTATGGCCAGGAAAAGAGCTCAGAGGAAGGGAGGCAAGATCACACTGTAATGGAGCCGTTGTGGAGGAAGTCGACCCTGAAGGGCTTGGGTCACACACAAGCTTGCTTCACAGGACACCTCACACCAGTGCCTCTGAGGCCAGGCAGCTCCTTCCTTGTCCCACAGAAACAAGAACAGGAGAGCACAGCCTCACACGTACTCGCCACAGTCCAATGATCACCATCTGTTTTGGTTTCCCACTTTGCTGCCCTGAGCCTCAATCAAGAAATCTGCGCCTTCATTGATCTCCAGGAACACCACGTGCTTGCCATCCAGCCAATCTGTATTATCGCAGGTCAGGAAGAACTGGGAACCATTAGTATTTGAGCCAGAGTTGGCCACGGACAGGCGGCCTGGCCCTGTATTTGAAAATGAAATTTTCATCATCGAACCTCTTCCGGTAGATGGGCTTGCCCCTCAGTGCCGCTGTGGTTTGTGAAATCACTGCCTTGGCACATGAACTAGGGGATGATGCGGTCGAAACTGCTCCCCTTGAAGCTAAAGCCCTTTTCATGGGTGCACAGACAACAGAAATTCTCTGTTGTCATGTGCACAACATCAGAACATAGGAGCATTGGATGCAGTCAGCTGGCTTGTTCCCAATCTTAATGCCCATGTACACCTGAGGATTTGACAGGGCTTTTTTGGCAGTGGGTTCTCCCTCTTGGGTTTCTGCTTTGGGAAGCTCAGATCCTTCTTCCTCCATTCTCCTCAGCAGTCTTCCCAGAAAACTTCTTCAACCAGTCATCATCTGACAAACTGGTCTGGAAAAGCCCTTCATAATTCTCATTGGTGTGGCCAAATTGACAAGAATTGTCCATCCAAAGAGTTAATAAGCGCTGAGCCATCTCTCCAGCCCCATATAAAGCAATTATTAAGCATAATGTCATTAATATTTATTTGGCACAGAAAGATATCTATTTAATATGCTATTATTAGAAAATAAGCAGGTTACAGGGGCTGGAGAGATGGCTCAGAGGTTAAGAGCACAGGCTGTTTTTGCAGAAGACCTGGGTTCAGTTCCCAGCACCCACTGGCAGCTATCAACATTCTGTAACTTCAGTTCCAGGAGACCTGATGCCCTCTTCTGACAGCCTCGGGCATTGCATGACACAGGTACACTTACATACATGCAGTAATACACTCATATACATAAAATAAAAATAATAAATAGAATTTTAAATAGAAGCAAGTTATGTTAAGATAATTTTAGTTTTCAAAAAAGCATATGGGCCAGTTGTGATAGCACACACCTTTAGTCCCAGCACTTAGGAGGCAGAGCCAGGCGGATCTCTATGCGTTCAAGTCCAGCCTGGTCTACATAGTGAATTCTAGGCCAGCTGGTGCTACAGGGAGACCCTCTCTCAAAAAGCCAAAAAAAAAAAAAAAGCATATGCATATGTGAAGTACAAACACAAAGTCTGAAGCTGGGCATGGTGTTACATATCTATATTCCTAGTATTTGGAAGACTGAGGCAGGAGGATCTTGAGTTCAAAGCTAGCCTGGGCTTACTCAGTAAGACTGGTTCAAAAAAATCTAAAGCAAACCCCCCCCCCCAAAAAAAAACCCCAAAAAACAGCAACAAGGAAAACAAAAGGCAGAAACTGTATTGTTAGCTTTCACTGCATAACAAAAAACCCTAAAATTTAGCAGCTTGAGTTAACAGTCATTCTTTTGTTCATTTTCTGTAGGTGAGAGTCTAGGCTAGCTTCAGTTGAGCAGTTCCAGGCTTGAGCTCAGTCACGCATCTATAGTCAACTGGATGTGGTCTCTGCTGGGACAGCTCTGTCCACTCAGCCTCTCATTCCCCAGGAATCTAAAAGGAGCTTGATGACAGAGTCCTCCCAAACACCACACCAGGTCTCAAAGCAGGAATGAATCCTGTCCTGAAAGCTGGCATTCTTGTTACTCCTGCCACATTCTATTGACCAAAGTCTATCACAAGGCAGCTCAGATTCAAGTTTGTTTTAAATCAGACCTCAAGTTGCCCTCATTGACCTTGAACTCACTATGTAACCAAGGCTGCCCTTGCTCTCCCAATCCCCTGGCCTCTGCCCTCTAAATCCTGGGATTACAGGCATGCACCACAATGCCCAGCAGATTACCTTTCTCAATAGAGGGAGCAGGCAAGGCACATGAAGAGACGTATTTGTTAACTTGGGTAGGTGGGAAGAAATAGTTGTGCCTTTTTGCATATAATTTGTCACAATGATAAAATAGTAATGGTACATATTTAGGATATGAAAATGCAGTTGATTTTATTCTTTCTATGCTATAAAATTCATTTTATAGTAAATAGCTATTATTTTTATTATCAAAATCATTTTCACATTAAAATGTTACTGTTTTTTTAAACAGTATTGCAAAATGTTTAAATAATCTTTTTTTAAAAAATGACAGAAAAGCATAAAGTATATATGTATATATCTTCAAACATAAAACTATGCAGAAAAAGGTCTAGAGGAATTACAAATGTTAATAATGGATTACAATTGGGTGCAGAATGATTTACCAACTTCCTAAATTTTCTACAATCAAAATAAATGAATAAAACTGAAAACAGTGGCATGTCAAAGAAGGCTGAGCACTGGTGTCTGTAAATCGCTGGAGTCAGCAACAGTATTAAACCACATACTGGGAAGGACAGACTCACTTATCTGGACTTCAATCCTGATGATATGAGAGTATTACTTGCTGAAAAATATTGATGGACATGTCTATTTATATAGAAATGTTCAGATATGCCATTAATGTAGGTCTGAGGAAAATAACAAGGCAAGTTCCACATCCTCCAACAGAATTTAGTAGAAACTACGTTTTAGAGATGTTGGGCAATGCCCGACTCCTATTAAGACTTTGGCCACAACTTGGCTACATTTCCAATTATTTGGAACTGCAGTTGCAGGAGTAATTCATTGACAACCTTTGACCTTCAATAGAACGATCTCAGAAACATCAGATGAGAAAGCCAACTGGGGCACGCAATTTCATGGGAGCATGCTTTTATTTTTTTTTTTTTTAAAAAAAGACAAGCTTAATTAGTACACTGCAAAGAGTGCAGCAGATATGTCAGGCAACAAAACTGCCTGCCAGGGGGCACTCCTTTGGGAGGCCAGTCCTGTGCTTGCCCAATGCAGGAAGTGAAAGTCTCCTTAAATTATATAACCTACGTACCTCTCTGCCTTGCCCTGGTCCCAATTCTGTCTTAGAGAACTTACGCTTCTTAACTAGAGTAGAAATAGTCTCCCAGTATCTCAGCAAGGCTCCTAGCAAAAATTAATCAACAATTAATTAATCAATCTTGAGGCAGAGGGCCTATGTGCCAGTGCCTCTCTAGGAAATACAATCCCAAAAAGCACCTGCACCTTCCAGCCAGCAAAGCCTAGAAAAGTTAACAATGCTAAGATGACGAGTGGAACTGGCCACCAGAACAATGGAGTGCCCAAACCACAAACTGTGCCATGGGAAGCCATATAACCGATACCTCAGCATCTTGGGGATGGTTGGAGAAAGAGATATTTATTATTGATCCAATGACTTCATGCTTCACAGATCAGAATTTCTCCCTCTGATCCATTTAATTTCCCATACTGTCAAGTTACACTGGAGCTGAACTGCTCTTAGACCCAGGTCTAACCTTAATCATCTGCTCCCAGGACTTACCTAGGTCAGGCCCAAGGGAAAACTTCCTCATATGGTTGGCCTCTAACCTCCAAACAACTGTGCAACTGTAGGAATATGTTTGGCTTCTTTCACTCTCATTAAAAGACAAGACTTTTTTGGAGTTCTGGGCAGATTTGAGCAGTAGAAACACTTAGGTAAGAAAAGAGACACATTTGTTAACTTGTCAAATCCTCCTCAGGGAGTGTTTGAGTAACAGATTCTTTCATAAGGAACTATTTCCCAGTAGTGCCAAGTGTACATGCGTGCGTGTGTGTGTGTGTGTGTGTGTGTGTGTGTATGTGTGCATGTGTGTGTGTGTTCCAATTCATGGATCTGGAGGACCTAATTAATACTGAATTCACAATTACAAACTGTTGCAAAGGAACCTAACATCAAGCAAAGTCATTTTGCTCTTTTTTTAATTTTAAAATAATTGTTATTGATTCTTTGAGAGTTTAATAAAAATGTGTTTGGATCCTATTCAATCCCCCTCCCCCATTTCATCTCAGATCCAACCCCATTTGTCCAATCTTTCTCACTTCATGTCTTTTTTTTTTTTTTTTTTGGTCTTATTGAAACAAAGTCTACCTGTAGCCCCAGCTGGTCTGGAACTTGCTATGTAGACCAGTTTGGCCTCAAACTCACAGAGCTGCCTGCCTCCACCTCATGAGCGCTGGGATTAAAAGCATGTGTCACCACGTCCGGCCTTCTATTAGTTTTACAAGTTTAACTTGTATTCCCCCCAATGCTCCTAGGTGCAGGTCAGTCCCCCTGGAGTCAAGACAACATACCTAGATTTATTTCAACTATAGGTACAAAGATCCATGAAAATGCCACTGATTTTATGTTTTTTAAATATAGTTATTGAGGAAGGAAAAAGGAAGTGCTTGGGCGTCGCAGGACTGGAGGCATGGGGGATAGGGAGCACTGTGGCTGCGTCGGGAAGTCCCGAGGCCCGTCGGGAGAGGAGCAGAAGGAAATGGAAGATAAAGTGGCTAGTCCAGAGAAAGCTGAAGAAGCAAAATTAAAAGCAAGGTATCCTCACCTGGGACAAAAGCCTGGTAGTTCCGACTTTTTAAGAAAACGATTACAGAAAGGGCAAAAATATTTTGATTATGGGGATTACAACGTGGCAAAAGCAAAGATGAAGAACAAGCAGCTTCCCGCTGCAGCCCCAGATAAGACAGAGGTCACTGGTAACCACATCCCCACTCCACAGGACCTTCCTCAGCGGAAACAATCTCTGGTTGCTAGCAAGCTGGCTGGCTGATTAAAAGAGCTGAACTGG